GTGCCTCTGAGTAGACCGAGGGCCGGGGTGGGTGGGGCAGGTGGATGGAGAGAAGAGGACCAGGCAGGGAGGGAAGCGGGGGAGAAAGGCCGGGACACACCTGGCTCAGGACCCAGCGCTGAAGAACACAAACTTGGGTGGGGGAGCAGACACCAGCGGAGAAGCTGCCACCCCACTGGCTCCTTGGCAGCAATTAGGTCTCTGGTGACCTTTGGCTGTTATTTCTCCTGCCGCCCCTTCATGTCACCCACCCACTCACACGTCTGCACCTGGGGAAGAGGCCTGGGGTCCCGCTGCTGTGCCAGGCCACACGGCTGGTCACTGAGCCCTAGTCTAGCACGAGCTACCGTTCCCACTGGGGTCACCCAGGGCCAAGGTCAGTGAGCGGGCTGTCCAAGCCACTGGGCGGTAAATACCAGGGCCCGAGTCAGAGGCGGGGAGATGGATGGAGGTGTGATCCGTCCCGTCAGGCCCTGCAGAGGATACCCGGGAGACGTGAACCTGGGTTTTAGTGACGTGCCCAGGATCTGAGCACATGTGGGTCACCTTGGGAGGAACGGGACCAGACCCCTGTGCTCCAGTGGGACCTGCACACAGGAAGACAGTCATGGGATCACGTTAAGGAGACACCACTGCTGTCCCGGGCCACAGAGTCGCTCCGAGCCACAGCAGTCCTGGCGCACAACAGAATGAAACACCGCGCCGTCCCCATGACGGCCGGTGCCGGAGTCCTCCACGGCTGCAGCCAGCTGTCCTTCCATCTCCTCAGGGCCTTCCTTTGGTCCGCTGCCCCTCCACTTTCCCAAGCGTGCTGTCTGCTCCAGGGGCTGGTCTCTCAGGCGCACCTCTCCCGAGCTCTTGTGTGCTCTTGGCAGTCCACCTTGTGGTTAGGGGCCACCAGGTCGGCTCTGGCCCGTAGTGACCACAGAACGAGACACTGCACGGTCCTGCGGGGTCCTCACGAGGGCTCCGGTGCCTGAGCTGTCAACGTCGCCACCGTGTCCATCGGCTCCTCAGGGCTCCCTCCTTTCCAGAGCCCCTCCCCGCTTTACCCAACACGACGTCCTCTCTCCCGACAATGTGTCCACAGTGTGAC